TTCCTGCTGGAAGGTCCTGGACATGCCCTGGAAAAGCAAGAGAGGAGACGTTACCCCACGTAAAGAGAAGGGATGCTCCACGGCCCCAAACCACAGCCCAGCAGCCATGAGCTCTGTGCTCCTATCCCAGGCTCACAGCTGGGCTGCTCCATGCAGCTGGCTGCAAAGGTGCCCCTGACCCAGTGGGATCCAGAAACCCCAGCCCTGGTGTGCACATCCCAGGGCCACTCTTTGCCACAGGGCCCCATGGAGCGGGCAAGTGGCCTTGATGTTCTCCAACACCCATCTTCAGCCATGCTTGCCAGCTTATAGGAGGAAAAGACAAGCTAAAACTTTTTCAGTCCCAGCCTCACGTCATTTCCCTATGGCAGCAAGGGAAACTTAATAAAAACATTTATTAACCCCACTTTTCCAGCAGGGTCCCATCCTGGCCAGCCCCTGCCTGCCTGAGGCAAGTCCCTGAGGTCAGCATCCCACTCCTCCGGTTTCTCTCTCCCGGTCCTGCCTGGCTGCTCGGGGACTGCTCCTCCCCACCGCCCTCCGCCCCCCAGGAGAGATGGAGGATCTGGGCAGAGGAAGAGAGCCCGTGACCCTGTGCTGGGACTGGGAGGGACCCGGGGCTGGCTGCAGCGCACTGGGCAGCCCCGAGCCCCCCAGCACAGGCACACCGTGTCACCATGGGGCTGCTGCAGTCTCTGCTCATCACTTGTGGTCTTTCACATCTGAAACGGCAACTGCTCTGAATAGATGGCGCATCAATCAAAGCACTTTTGCACAGAGACTGGGGGCGGTTCCTCTGATCCTTCATTTTCAATCTGTCCTGACATTAATTTCTCCTAAACCCCACCATGACCTCCATCAGCGACCTCAAAACTGCCAGCTGATGCAGCAGCTGCGAGTGAAGGACAAAGCAGAGGAGCTGCCTCGCTGGAGGAGGCGCCGGCTCTGCGGACCATTTGTGCAGAATACCTTCCTGCACCAGAAACAGCCCGCAATACCTCCTCACCTCTGCAAAAACACCGTCCTGAGCTCAGGTAACCCCCACCCACCCCATGGGTACCTGAGCTCAGGAATCATGAGCCACAGCTTCATCACGCAATTTCAAGGATGAGTCCCACAATGCAGGGACTTTTCAGCAAGCATTTTGCTGTAGTAAGAAAAGGCACAGGGTATCTCTTGGTGCAGAAGCAGCTTCAACACCCTCCTCCTTTTGGGGGGATGGCTGATTCTGACACCCTTGTGCCCGTATCACTTAGTCTGTGTAATGTCTGGCTTATGACCTGCTCAGGGATAAAATCTGTCTCTCCTTGAGCAGGGAGGCACCACCAGAGCCCGGTTCATGATGCTGCCTGCGGCCGCTCAGCTGCTTCGCCAGCCAGCAGCTGCCAAACGCACTTTGAAGCGATGCCAGGCTCTTGTTCAGCATCTCAGCTGTCTGTTGTATCAGATCCTGTGGCTGATGCAGGGTGTGATCA